GCACTTGTAAACTGCATAAACAATCAGATCGAGTGGTTCGATAATTGGGGAAAAAATCTTACATTAAATTTAAATATATTATTGAGAAGTATTGCAAGAATTGTTATTTAAAAAAATAATTTAAACCAATGCCAAAAGAAACTTGTTTAAACTGGTACATCACTTAGGCCCTCCGACATGGCTTCGGTCTTGTTTAAACTGGTACGTCACTTAGGCCCTCCGACATGGCCTTAGGCCCTCCAACATGGCTTCGGTGGCCTCACATTTTTCTGTACAAGGATTGGCCGTTGACCAATCGAGCCATTATAACAGAGATCAGTGGTTGTTGTCTGTTGCTAAGGGCATCTTGAGTCATCAAAGCACTAAGGGTAATCTAAGCTGAATATTGCAAAGTGTTTTTTAAAGTTCAAAATGTTGTGTTTTCATCTTATAGTCATCATGGGACTCTAACCTAGCTGACTTTATTGCTGTTTTCATTGCTTTGTTGTCTGACTTTTACCATGGGACTGATCTTAAATAGACCAAACAGCACTGCATCAAAATCCTGTTTATGAAGTTAGCATATTTGCAATCTAACAAATTGATCTTACAATTTGGTAAGAGTGACAATATGAACAGATTATCAACAAATAATTCATCTCCAAAAAGATAAACCTGCTGCTGATTCTGCTAGTTTTGGTTTAGTATATCACCTAGAATAAATCCATAGCAATAGAAATCCGTTCAGTGCATACCCCTGCCCCTGAATGAAGGGCATTTATTGGCAATTCCATTAAGGAGTTTTTAAAAATTTGTGTGACATTTGACCTTGTCTTTTAACCTTTTTACACTGAAATTTAATCACCTTTTTCATAGATTAATATTTACAGTTTCACTAAAATTTATGATGATCCAGTCAATAGATTTTGCGTAATCCTGCTAACAAACAGAGACAAACAGCGCAGTCAATACATAATTTTCTTGGAGGAAGTAATTATGGAGTTATGATGATAATAATACCAGTAATGATAATAATAATTATAATAATAGTAATATTGTGCATCATGCCTGTAAAAAAGTCCCCTTTGCTTTGCTTCATATTATTCCAACTGGTCATTGGATCAAAAATCTATAGAACTGAAAATTAATTCTGTGGAAATGCATTTACACTGAACTATAGACCTGTGATGCAGACCAGTCACACTGTGTCATGAATAATTTACCAAGGTGCAGACATACTTTGACGTCATTACTTTGGTATACAAATATTAATTCTGAAGTAGCCAGAGTTTCAAGTGGCCACTTCATATCTTTGTGCAGCATGAATGTAAAAAAAAAAACTCAAATAAATTTGATTACTGTAGGCTTCAGACTAATAATATTTTGTTTGTTCATAATTTCCTGTATATCAAGTAAAAAAAGCCAATACACCCTAATAAGGAATTTTTTTTTTTACTTCTTTTTTCCCTTTTCTTGAAATTGTTAAACCTAAATTTATTTTTCTTGGAAATTGCATATAAAATATTGGTTAAATGATTGGAAATGATTTTAGGCATGAAAAATAAAATTTGGTGATTTACCAAACTACTGGAATTTTTAACTGCCTTGTTACCACCCCCTAATCCCTGGTGTAACCGTTTTTCCTAATATCTTGTGTAGCTGTTATTTCTTCTGCTTTTGTATAACTATGGTGTGACACTGAAGCTCTTTAATACCTTTACTTTTTAATATATTTCTATTTCTGTTTTGACTTTTAGGAGTGAACATGAAAGGTGTTGATCTAGAGAGCAGCCAAATGACGGGTGTGAATCTACGTGTCGCAACTTTAAAAAATGCAAACCTTCACAACTGTAATCTGCGCGGTGCGGTGCTAGCTGGCACGGACCTTGAGGTAAGCAAAATGTGATCCATGTTATCAAGCACATAGTTTCCAAATACTGAATTTGATTTTGTCATCGAATATCACAGTAATAATTATCTTGAATATTAAATCTACTTGGTTGCATTGCTTCCAGACAAAGATATTATCATTATAATCAGTTTAGTTGGTACTAGCAATTGTGTATCTTGAAATATTAGCTGACAAATTTAATGAATTTGTGAGGATTATAGGATGAGAAGAATAGAAATGAAAGTTACATTACATTTAAGAAGACAGCATTTGATCGTAGTTTAGTAATGTATAATGTATGACAAAGCACAATTAACAGTAGATTATTCTGCCTACACAGATTGAGATATAAGCAAGCAATAAAGTACGGTATTCAATTACACACTGCCTTTTTAATTAATTTGGAGCCTATGCCCAATGACCTATCCCAGAGATGGGCACAGATGTAACCCAATGGTGATTTTTTTTTTTTTTGCGGACCACGAAAAAAATTTTTTAAAAACCTATGTGTGCAGCCCACCAACCATTTTTCGATCATCTGTAAAAAATAATTCTAAAACATGAAGCGGTATAAAAGCATGCATCAAAGTTTTTGTAAGCACAATCAATGGAAACATCAAAGTTTGGGTGTGGCCATCTATGATAAATCAAGAATTTACTTTGGCCCTCTGACCAATTTTTACGACTACCCCTAATCTATGCCTACTGAAAATATAAACATGCTGACTTCATCATACTTGATTGGCCATGATACATGGAATGGCCACATTCAGTTCTGTTTGTGAACAAATAAACTAATATCTCAGCTTTCAGTGAAAGCCACTTTAACAATGTTTCAATGTAGCAAATAATAATATAAATAGTGTGGACACACACAGCAGCTGCCCTTCTTATATTTTACCTGTACTGTACTTAATATACAGTATTATTTCCAAACCTTATCATTACTTTTGAAATGTCGACTATCGTATTGGTGATATCTTGAGAGAGCAGCTTAGCTCAGTCGGCTAATCTAGTGGTAGCCACTGTGTGTGCGCCGAACTGTGGAGATATCTAGGTCCCCGGTTCAATCCCCATCGCTGCCTTTCCTTGAAACATTTGACTCTTGAATGATGCTGTAAAGTAACAGGTGATTAAGTTCTCGGTCTGCCATTTACAATTATTTGAATGATCAGTGATTCATCAAATGGCTGTTGAATTTAACAATGAATAGCTTATTGGTTAAGTAACTTCTTGCCACAGTATGGAAGAAATACTGTGCATGTTGTCATGGTGACAACACGCAGCACAGTTAAGTGTTTTGAAATCCTTCAGTTTAATGTGAATAAATGAATGTAGAGTTCATGTCATGCATAAACATTAAATAAATTGTGACTGTCACCAATTCTGTGTAGATATATATGAGAATATGGGCTGTATTACAGCCTACCGTGATGTATTACAAGTCTACCCATGGAGGAAATGGTCTACCATAGCATGGATCGTAATGTTTGTTTATTTAACAAGCTCAGAGTGATTAGTATAAGCCTAAAGTTACAATGATGATATATTGAAATGTTGTTTTAAAGTCAAGGTGTGATTGCATTTATATCCGTGTGCAGTAAATAAGTTTGATGTTTTAACAATTTTTCCTTATGCAGATTGTATTCTTCTTGTGCATAGTACAGTGCTGTAGTATGCTAGTAATTGGATACATTCACGTTCTCTATTATGTTAAGAATGATATATAGTGATTACACTAGCGTTTCTTTTGACAGGATACATACTAATAGTAATATTATTATGCTGCTCAAGTCATCATAAGAAATGTAAGAGCTTTTTGAAAGTCCTTGGGGGTTTAGAGGCAAAATACTTGTGGGATTTTATTGTAAGGGCCCTCTGGGCTCCCAGCTTGTTGAGACTGGCTATAAT